CCATACCAAGACCCTGCTCAGGTGAGCGCGGAGGCGTTGGCACCAACGGTGGCTGGGCCACGGAAAGCTGCAGGGCAGCAAGTGGTAGATCCACAGATGGCTGATCAACAGCATGTGGCAGAGCCACAGGTCGCGGAGCGAAGTGCTCGAGATGCAGGAGCAAGGCAAGCTGAACGTTCAGCCGAGCGACTGGACGCTCAAGGTCCGAGACCTGGTTGTGAGTCAACAGTGGTGGCTCTAACCTATCCACAAGGTGGATCATCTCTTCGAGATCGACCGATGGGCGATGAACGTGAACGTTCGCGTCGTGGACGCCGGCGTCGTATGGACGCAGACGCCGTTCCGGCAAGTGCTGACTCTCCCCGCGAGAGACCAGCTGAGGCAAGGCCTACTCCTGCTCTGCTCGATGAGCATGGTGAGCTCCACTTTCACGTGGAACGCCTTGTGGCGTGGCGTAGACGCCAGGGTCGTACCCAGTACTTGGTGAAGCGGAGGGGTTACCCTCACTCACAGAACTCATGGGAGTTTGAGGTTATCCTCCGGCAAGATTGCCATGACGTCGTTGACGCTTACGACCGGGCACATCATGTGCCGAAGCGCCACCATGGCGTGCGACAGCGTCGCCAGGCGCTGGGCGCCTCCCACTAGCGTGGGGAGCGATCAGGTCAGTAGTTGAGCTCAGGCTCTGACCAGTGGCTGCAGCAGCCAGCTCGTACGTATGAGCGGTGCTCGCAGCGGGAGCAGGAGGTGGAGAGACCTCGTAGTGTTAGGGACATGGTCCCGAAGGAAGCAGGTGCTTCGTGTTGTGCTGAACAAGGTTCAGGCACAAGCGTCTCGATAGACGCATAGTTGTTTTGAAACAACTTGCTCGATGAGCATGATCAAAATGTGGATGCGCTGTAACAGCGAAAGTGGTGTCCCGGACGGGGGTCGAACCACTGGCCTTTGGCTTGACAGGCCGGAGCTCTACCATTGAGCTATAAGGGCGATGCCCGTACGTCAGTCCGAGAACGGACTACTCATGGCATGAGAGGGCTGCGCCCGAGTGGATTTGAACCACCGATCTGTGGCTTTCAAAGCCAGCGCTCGACCACTGAGCTGAAAGGGCGTTGCCCTTAAGCTTGTCCATTCAAGGACAACAGCTAATGGAACGAGAGGGATGTGCCCTGGTGGTTTCGACCCACCGACCTGTGGCTTCCAAAGCCAACGCTCGACCACTGAGCTAAAAGGGGATTGCCCTTAAGCTTGTCCAAGCGTGGACAATCGTTCATGGAACGAGTGGGCTGTGCCCTGGTGGGTTCGAACCACCGACAGGTCGCTCTCAAAGCCAACGCTCAACCATTGAGCTAAAAGGGTGTTGCCCTTAAGCTTGTCCAAGCGTGAACAATCGTTCATGGAACGAGAGGGCTGTGCCCTGGTGGGCTCGAACCACCGACCTATCGCTTGTAAAGCGAGTGTTCAACCGCTGAGCTGTTGTCGACGGCTCGAATGAGTCAAGAGCATTGATCTAAGCGGTTTGCAGCTCTTGGAGTAGGCGCGGAGCGCGAGCGTAGGTCTAAGACCGCTTGAGAGCAAGATGCGCGCTGCGCTTGGAACATTGGGCTGTGGGCCGACGACGATAAGTTGGGCATCAACGATGCGTAGGCGTTTGTGAGCTCACGGAGCTGTACAACGCTGGGGTGAGGTGTAGTAACCTCCGCCGTCTTAACAAGACGTGACCTCGTTGAGGAAAGTTTCGAGAACGGACTGTTCTCATCTTAGTGGGGGAGAGTGTAACGGGGTTACATGGTGTGGAGCACACGGGGGTACGAAGTACCCGGAGAGTTAACAAACTCTCAGTACATAAGTTGGAGAGTTAACAAGGTCTCTCAGTACGTTGGCTGAAAGCCACACGTTATGCATTTAATTAGGTTTAACTATGCTAGATAGTTAAAGAGATACATTTACCCCTAGGCGGCTTGGCCGCAATAATAGTAAATAAAACACTTCTGGTTTTGAAGCATAAAAGTTAAGGTATTAATTTTGAGCCCTGGTCTTGGGCTGTAAGTGTCCTTTGGATAAGGAACTTAGTATTAGTGACTCTTTGAGTCGAACGTCTTCCTCTGACGCTAAAGCTACGGCAGCCCCGCTGCAAAAGTGTAGGCGAGACGGAATGCATTTGCAGATTCACCGGTCAAGCCATCACCGTACCTAACCCCAAGCCCATAGTCGAAAAGATGAGAAAGAAGACCGATACGAGTAAGACTGCGCGAAAGAAAATGCAAGCTCCAGAGTCGGGAGAAGAAGACCAAGCTGGTACGACAAAAAGCTCGAGTTTGTAGATCGCCACCGAGCTTTACGCGACTTCCTGTATCAAGTTCTTGTCATGCGAATACTTAATCCACGACAGATTGAAGATTCAAAGGAACCCGTGAGAGCACCAACGTATACTTTAACAAATGGGTGGATGTTAAGGATCTATTACGTCTGCTTACGGATTCTGGTATCGTGGCTGGTGCATTCGATGCAGAGAATATCTTCAAGCTAGATCTGGATTTTATTTTATCGGCGGCGCAAGATCTCGTCGTTAGAGTCAAGTCCATCGCCGGGGAAAAGCCGCAAACCATTTTTTCCAGTATCGTCGCCGAGGACTAGCGAAGCTGCATCCGCCAACTACGAATCCGTGGTCGAAGATGGATCAGATACGTCTTCCGAGCCGCGACGCATGGCCTTAGATCCCTCCGGGTCGTCGATACTGGAGGCGCGGGCAAGGATCCGGGGACACGAGACATCTCCAAGTGTGAAGACACGGGATTCAAGGCGCCAGACCTGCGATCTGAATCCATCCAGCCAGGATCGATCCAGATCCAGCAAGAAGCCAGCTAGATTGTCGTCGGATCGGGCTCACGCTAATCGTCTTACGAATCCTTCTTCCCCGACGGTAGGCCAGACTACAGCCACCATGTCCTCTGATACCTCGTCAGGCACCTTACAGCGGTATTTAGAAGCTGCGGTGAGTAGGTTTCTGGCCGAACAAGGTATAGGAGTGCCCAGGACACAGACTCAAGTGTCCCACGACCATGGAGCACGAGACGCCATCATAGATTCAGTAGATGGAGACAACTCTCATGACGAGTTCGATCCAGATGATTTGGATGTCCCATCTCCTTCACCTGCGGCGGTACCAACGGCTGCCGCCGGGACGAAGGGGTCGTCTATGTATCAGAGGGTACGGATCGCAGCCTTATCGGATCTGAAGGACTTCACAGGCAAGGATCAAGACGAAGACCGAGCGCAAACATGTAATAGCAAGGACAAGTCAGCCTCATGAGAGATTAAGCTTCAGGTGCAGAACGTGTGTGACATTTGCAGACTTGCTGACCGGGCCAGGCAGAAACAGGTATCGGCAGCTGCACAGATCACTAGGAACAAGTGGTCAGGTTTGCTACGCGATTTCCGAACGCAGTACTGTGGATTAAGAGTGTCGGTAGCGCGACAGTACTACCATGGTCGCCGCCGATCGAACGAGTCCCTTCTAGAATACCTCCATCGGCTCAATGTGGCCGGCCTACGGGACAAGTTGAAGATTAATGATGGTAATCCAAGGTACTACGAGAGCATGTGAATCATTTCATCGAAATCTTGGGAGATGTTGATCTGACCGACAGGCTGACCCTGCTTCGACTTCCAGATGTCGATGAGCTCGAAGAAGTGCTGCGGGTAGTGGATCGCGCGAAACAGCGCCAGAAGAAGGCGGCTGTCGGATCTGGCAGGTATCACCAAAAGGCTCCGAAACCCACACCCCAGCTTGACGCGTCCACCAAGTCATATCGCCCGCCTAAGGAACCGAATCCGGATCTGATGGTTCGGACTCCGATACAGATGATTACCGCAGGGTCTGTCTTACCGCTCCAAATGATCGTACGGCAAAGACTAGAGACAACGCCCGCACTGTTGATTCCTTACCCGGGGGTCGTGGGATGTGCAGACCCCGAGATCGCATTGACTGGACAGAACAAATCCGGTGCTCGCAGTGTGGACCACGGAAGCGCACGGAAGCCGGATGTTGGAAACATCTATTTGTGGCATCGATCATGATGACAAAAAAAAAATGAAAAAGAGCTCTCTTATGTGGTTTGTCTGCTGTTTGATACAGGTTGCGATGGGCTGCATGGAAGCAGCGAGCGTAAAATATATGCTAGAGACTGGGAATGGTTGAGGATTTTTGTGGACACGGACCACAACAAGGTTTTGCACCATAATGCTTCATATATTTACCGGTAACAGTACGCTTATTATTACTTTATGTGTGCCTACGTATCTTTGCACTTGTTTGAATAGTACGATCTGGTTTCTTCAGTTACAGACCAAATTTCAGACGTCTGCACTCGTTGGGGCTCAGTTAGAATGCCACGGATGAGCGCACATTATAAAACGTACAGCATCTACTAGCATAATCACAAATCACCCTCATTTTTAAAAATTCTCTGTCTGTCAAAATATATATAACTACTTTCATCAATATTTATTGGTGATTTTATTCAAAATATTAATGCTACTATTTAATGATATACCATTGGTTAAAATAATATTTATATACCAGAAGGCTTCGAGTCCGGGTCGTATCGATCCACATGCACTCCTTTTAGCTACTGTGTGGGTCGGCTGATATCGAGCTCGTCAATCAGGTCCTTATCAATTCATCCCCCCTCCCCCTCGACGTTTTTGTCAAACTTAAAAACACGATCAGTTAATTCAGATTACGTCTGCACTCAAAACTTAACAAAACAAATGCGCAGACTGTTAGAGCTCTTATAATACCTACTAACTAGCGCCAGGCTGGACAACGTGAAATAACGGAGGCAGTTTCAGAAATGCACGGTTAACGTAATCGATTGCAGAGCAATTTAGGCTGTCAACATTTCAATAATTGATTGCTGAAGAAATGGGTTTACAATCATTTTACCATCTTTATTTCCACAGCCCTGGACGTAGTCCCGTACACATGGAAGCAAATCCATTTAAAACCGCCTGGGGTCGTTAAAGATGTGTACCTTGGGCTGGCGTTTATGATAGAAATCCGCGTATCGAGTTGCAATCACTGTTTCCAATCCACCGGTCTTGCCACTGAGAAACGTCGTGTACACGTCCTTTGGCTCAACGCTGCCTTGAAACCAGCGCTTAAACAGTTGATTCTGATATTTGTTGGCATTCGCGATTACCTGTGGATCTGTTGTCGCCTGCGCCGTAGCGAGCACACGGGCAAGGTCCCCGTCACCGAAGCCTTTTCTCACCACCCTAAACAAATGCGTTTTATCTTGGGGCCTCTTGTTGGCATTGGACAGCGTAATGTACTCGCTTAGAACGTCCAACTTTCGGCTTTTCATCGCTTTTACCCCGTCATCTTTTATCTTTAATAGGTTGAATACATCATCAGCGGATTTTACCTTCGCCATCCAGCCCTCTAGCTGCTGCGCTTGTAGCTTTGTCGCGAATTCTTGCGTTGCCGTTTTTCGCTTGGCCGTGATGAGTGCCTTTGCCGCCGAGACTTCTCCGTATTTCGCTGTGAATCGCTCAAGCACTGACATCTCGTTGTCCGGAAAGTACTTCGAGATATAGTTGGAGAACATATTTAGTTTCCTGCTGTCCAGAGCGTCATCCACATTGTCACTGAACTTCAGTCGTGACCAAACACTCATTGGTAACAATTTTTCGTTTTGCCACTTGGTCAATAGAGCAGTCTCTAGATGGTTGGCCTTGTCGAGCGATCGCGTACTCCACTTTGCTTGGTCAAGCAGTCTCACCAAGTTGTCCTCTCCGTCCATGTGCTTCGTCAAGACCTTTACCAGCGTTTCATCTACTGACTGCCCGTGATTAAGCTTCGTAACGTAGTCTTCCAGTACCTCGAACTTTCGACTTCGAAGGACATTTAGACCGTCGTCATTCAGCTTCAGTAGGTTGAAGACATCGTCGACAGACCTCCCTTGCGTAATCCACACCATCCGTTGCTCGCTCTTTAACTGTTGCACCAGGCTCTTTAAATTCGAAGTCATATTTTCCGTCGTTTTCTCCAATGTCACGAGAGTCCTTGCGACTGTGTAGTCTCCGTACCTATCTAGAAGTGGCTTGATCAATGAGACTTGGTCGCTTAAGTCCTTGTTACATTGTACGTAGAGACATACGAGTGCAGTCTCTTCAGCTGCGAGCTTTTAAGAGAAGCTACCATATCGTCTCCAAGTTGTAGGCTGTTCACCAAGGATTCATATTTCTCCCACGTTTTGGGTGTGATGAGTTCGTCCACCCTTGATGTACCCGCTCGAATCAGATCACTTAGACCGCCTCGTTCTTCGTTTGTTCTTCTGTGAGCTCTGATCAGCCTCTTGGCACGGACATTATTTTTCTAAAATTGAAGCAAATACTTGATGCTAGCTGGTGAATCTCCCGCAGTCAACTTAGATGCAACAGCCGCCCAGACATTCGTGGTATACGCAAGGAGGACAGCAGTAGCCAGTAAAATGAAAGAGTAGCGATGCATCGTCAAAGTAAAATCCTGGATCTTCTGGATTCCGGGTCGAATTGCGAAGTGGTTGGAGAGAGGGGCCCAGCAAAACGTAGTGCATACATAGACACTTGGCCCTTGGCTGTCACCTCCATTTGTCAGATCAGCTTTGGACAGATAAAAAACGGTAACAGTACTGAAAAGAATTGCCCCGTGAATGCTGTACCGGCAATGTACACGATATTTACCTTTATTGGCGGTACCGCTGCTCACACTGTGCGAGCCTCACAGTACCGATACTGTACCAAGATATGCAGGGAATGCAGGGATTGTCTAGCTCTCTGCAAGTGAAGATTACGGGGCTCTTGCAGTTACAAGTACAGTACAGAATATTGTACTGGTACTGTAAATCTTCGGTACAGTGTACAGTATGAGGAGCACCACAAACCTGGTGGTGTATTTCGGTCCGTACTGTGCTGTGCAAGCAAACATATCGTACTGGCGGAGATTCATGATACCAAAAAGTAGCCAGTCATAAAGATGGGAGTACTTATAATGGTAGTTAGGAGTACCGCGAAGTAGGGCAAAGGGACGCTTAATTTAGAAAATAAGGCTTGTTTTGGCGATTCGAAGCTGTTTATGCTTTAGAGAAGCGGTCAGTTTTCGTGAAGTCCCTTTTAAATCAAATATAATACAAATCATTATTATTAAATGCACTAAACCTAAATTTAGGTTGCTTTCCGTACTTTCACCAGAAGAATTAACGTCCAACAAACCAGCAAAACCAAAGGGCTGGTTCGCGCGTTGGGGTCAGGTTATCTTTTAATAAAAGGGGTAAAGCAAATCTCCTCTATTAATATTATAACTTGATTCGCTTTAGGCAGCTTTTAGAATACATAAACATTAATTTAAATGGTCGGTTAGCCAATCAGATTGCTGCGTGGGGACCTAGATAGCCTGACTTAAAAATGTAATGAATAGATTGGACCAAATAGTAAAGCTTACGGAGATCGGGTAATTTTATTGTTGCTAAAGAGCAGATATGTAGGGATAAACAAATATTAAGCCCGCTAGAGCGGGATTGTCTCTACACCTCCGTCTGGTGGTCATTTCCAAACCTCAACCTCAAGCGGATACTCTCTTACCAGACCACCACCCATACGTTTGCTCGACGTCCTCCAAAATCGTCTGGACCAAGCGTACCGAGCTGCATGTCCAGTCCGACTTTGTCAATACCGATGGGATCAGTTTTTCCTGCTCAGGTCTTTTTTCAGTGAGAGCAAAATGGTGCAGCATTTTCCCGGGTAACCACGAAATGGCCGAGCGCCGCCTGCAATGTAAGAATCCGACTCGCGCAGAATCGAGATTACCAAAGAAGTGTGCAGTGTAATACAAGGTCCAGCACTGCGAACTCTCGTCGAAGTGGGTCGTTCTCAAGGGCACTGAGAAGCATTCACGAGGCGGTACGCCGTGCGCTGTAGGGCCACGCTCACGTGCTACTCCTGAAATGCGGGAGTACATCCAGCGCATCGATGAGAGTGATGTACCACCAGGCTTAATATGGAGTAACCTTCTGTGAACGCCGAAGATTCCGTCCCCAGTGCTACTTTTACCATCATGCACTCAGGTCCAGTGAAATGTTCGCTACAATCGATAGCTGCAGGGGTCGAAGAAATCCATACTTAAGACATGCTAGCTGGTCTTTTCGAAATCATTTAGAACCGATAGTGACCCAGCATCGGCGTCCGTTTTTGGAAATCAACAGGACGAGAGTGGATTCACGTAATGTTTATTGTGAGTCAGCGAATTGAGCGTGAATACTATACGGGTGTTGGTAGATTTGTCAGGGGTTTTCGGGAGCGGTTGGATGTAGGACTGGGTATCGACGCTGTGATGGGAGACGCGAAGAAGGCTCAGGTTAATGGACTAGCTGCTATCAGTGGGGTTGAGAACCGAATTTACCTGATGTGCTTTTTCCACGTACAGTACAGCGTGCGAAAGCGTATCCAGTACACTGCCGAATTCCTTCGAGCTGTTGTGCACCGCGGAGCTCTCGATATGCACAACACGCTTAGCAGGGACCATCTCTTTCTGGAGTGGAATCGCATTTCTAAAGAATGGCTACTGGACGGAAAACTAGAAACTTTCAAGAACTAGTATACAAACAATGGGTGGCTAGTCGCTTCAGGCGGTGATACATTTTTGATTCACCAGGGGCTTTTGTAACTTCGAACAATCCCTGTGACGTTTTCAACGCAAGCATCAAGAGATACACACAACGCAAGGCGTGTGGCACAAGGAGATTAGCTTTAAAATTTCTGACGATATCGGAAGACTAATCTATTTGCCTTCCCGCTGCTCTAGAGATCGTTAGAATTACACCACCCAAGGAGGCTACACGATTAGCTGAAGTGTTGGTCTCAGCGCGTCGAGTGGCTATCTAGGCTACCCTCACGTCTTCGAAGCTAATCGTGTAGCCTCCTTGGGCGGTGGAATTCTATCGATCGCTAGAGAAATGGGAAGGCGAACAGAGTAGTCTTCCGATATCGTCAGAAGTTCTGTAGCTAGTGCCACACGCCTTGCGTTGTGTGTATCTCTTTACGCTTGTGTTGATACCTTCAGAGGGATTCTTCGTAGTTGCAAAAGCCCCTGACGAATGAAATATCTGCCACCGCCAGAAGACTAGCCACTTCCTCTCTCCTGACAAGAAACAATGTTAGGGCAACAGCCGCTTCATTTCTCAGTTTATGAAGCTAGCCTTGGCGCGGCATGTCCGCAAGACAAACCAAGAAGGCCCGGGGGTGGTGTGGTGGGAGCTGAAGTTGTGCGCTGTCTACTTGTGAGCGTGGTGGTTGAACCAATCGTGAGTGCTCGAGCGAATGACCAAATGAAGCAGCTCTATCTACTCGACGCCCTCGACTACTACTGCTTGGACCGTGCACCCAGAATTAGACTTCCGTTGTTACTGGGACGTGGCGGACAAAACAAGCTCGAGGTCGTCGTCGGTGGAGCTATTTCCGTCGAGGTATCCTTTGCCAGCCCCTTGTTGGACGGGATCCTGATACTTTGCTTATTTTGTCATGTGCGTAGACTTCATTGTCATCTACATGGACTTTTCTTTCGTCGAACCCGAAAACTTCGTTTCCGACCTCCGTTGCATTACGGTGGAAACTACACACCCATTAACTGAAGAAATAGCTCGTGAAAGTTTTTTGTTCTTTGCCCAGCAGCTAGTTTTAGAAATTTCATTCCACGCCAGAAAGATAGTCCCTGCTAAGCGTGTAGTGCATATCCAGGGCTCCGAGGTACACAACAATTCGAAGGGGTTCGGCAAGGTGCTGGATACGCTCTCATAAGTTGTACAGTGCGTGGAAAAAGCACAGCAAGTAAATTCTGTTCTCAACCCCACTGATAGCAGCTAGTCCATTAATCTGAGCCTTCTCCGCGTCTCCCATCTCAGCGTCGATACGCAGTCCTACACCCAACCGCTCCCGAAAACCCTGACGAAACTACCAACAGCCTCATAGTTTTCACGCTCAGTTCGTTGGCTCACAATAAACATACTGACTAGGAGGTAGATTCATTGCCGGTCAGTAAAGACACAGGTAATGTCTGGATACCCCCAGGTCACTCAGTTTGAAAGCTGCATCCAGGTGAAAACACCAAGACGTTTTGCATGAATTGCAGACCGGTAATACTCAAAACGAAAGGTTCATCGTCCTCGCCATTCCCCACAAACGGGAATCCACTTTCGTTCTGTCGATTTGTAAAAACGAACGTCGACGTTGGGTCAATATCGGCGCTAATTTGTTTTTTTTTCTCGAAATGACCAGCTTGCGTGTCTTGAGTATTAAGTTCTTCAACCTGTGCAGCCATCTATTGTAACAATTATTTCGCTGAGCCTGTTCTCACTGAAAAAAATGCTTAAGCAGGAAAACTGATCCAATCGGTGCTTGACGAAGTCCAACTCGACATGCAGCTCGGACGCTTAGTCCAGGACGAGTTTGGGAGGGCATCGTTCAAACGTTCGGGTGGTAGTCCGGTAGGAGAGTATCTGACGCTTAAGGTTGAGGTTTGGAATTAATCGCCAGACGAAGTTGTAGAGCCAAATTCAGCGTTAGCGGGCTTAATATTTTTATATCCCTACATATCTGCTCTTTAGCAACAATAAAATTTGTGCTTAGCTCGAATTATGGTTAGCATTATTATATTCATTAGTTGTACCGAACTGTGGAGCGGTAATTACGAGCGGGTTGTTCTGTAACTTCGAGTGGGCTGCTCACAATTAGTTTGACAAAGTCAGGTAATTACGAGCGGGTTGTTCACAATTAGTTTACAAAGTTCAGTAATTATGAGCGTTTCGCCCGTTTTGTGCAGGTTCTGGGCGGAAAGTGCAGCCGTACGTAAAAGAGGTGAAGTCTCACGTCCTTTCTCTCAGTTTTTGCTAGTCATCAGAAAAGTGTATGCCAGCGGCCAATTCGAGGCATAAGTGTTCGGTCGTGTCAAATTATGTCTACCGCTCTCCAAAAAAAGGTTTAAGAGTTGCTGCGTACA